AAGGTTAGATCACATAGCCACCCCTAACCTCAATTGACTAAACGTAATTTCACACGCAAAATAAATTAATTTTTAATTAGATTCTATTAAAGAAAAATAAATAAGTTTGTCGTACATATAACAATTGTGTTCTTCTGCTCTTATAAAAGGGCACTACAACCACAGTCTAAACCAAGTTCTTCTACTCTCTCTTTACTTCCAAGTTCCAATAGCTAAGAAATAAAATGGCTTCCAAACTTTCCTTCCTATTTGTTTTTGTGATGTTGTTTGCTTTAACTTCAGCCATTCCAAACAAGAGAAAGCCATACAAACCATGCAAAAACATGGTCTTTTATTTTCATGACATACTTTACACTGGAAAGAATGCAGCAAATGCAACATCAGCAATAGTAGCAGCTCCAGAAGGTGCTAGTTTAACTAAATTGGCACCTCAATCCCACTTTGGTGACATAATAGTTTTTGATGACCCTATCACATTAAACCATAGCCTTTATTCAAAACAAGTTGGAAGAGCACAAGGTTTTTATATTTATGATACCAAAAACACATACACTTCTTGGCTTAGTTTCACATTTGTTCTTAATACCACTCATCATCAAGGAACCATTACTTTTGCTGGTGCTGACCCCATTGTCGCCAAAACTAGAGATATTTCTGTCACTGGTGGTACTGGTGATTTCTTTATGCATAGAGGAATTGCTACTATCACGACTGATGCATTTGAAGGCGAAGCTTATTTCCGACTTGGTGTTGATATTAAGTTCTTTGAGTGTTGGTAACTATGAAATTAAGTGCTAGTTGCTATAATAAAAGCAAATAAATTTGAAGTTAAATTGTAGTTGAACCTTTTGAGTTTATCTAGGTGGATCTCGATTATTAATTCCTCTTTTATGTCGTGTTTTTTATTAATTAGCCCATAAAGTATTCTCTTTGTACTTCTTTTGTTCTCTATCATTATTATCAATAAATGAAGATTCTATCAATTACTTTTCTTCTAGATTTTTCATGTTAACTTATAGGTGGCATTTACAATGGACCAACACGGTTTCGAATGATCTCGATTAAGGGTGTAAGTAGATCAGGAAAAATCGACTATCCAAATCAAACCAAACAAAAAATAGATCGATTGTTTTTGGTTTGGTTTAAAAATTGAACCAAACTAATAAAAACCGAAGTGTTTTGGTTCGGATCTCAGATTTAGTTTTTTAGAACCGCCAAACCTATTAAATAAACCAATGACTATACATACCTGCTTAATCTTTTATTTTTCTCGTTGTTAAGTCCAAATTTTATATCGGTCTCAATCTTCTCCGTCTTTTTTGACACTTCATTCCTTTTAATAAAATAGGCTATCAAAACCATACTCCTAACATGATAAATAGAAACCATAAGCCACAAAAATTTGATCTAGCCAAATTGTTGCTCTATCTGCTTGAAACAACTATTTCTCTCACCACTTTCATTCTTATAGGTTATGGTTTTTTATTCGAGTTTAAGTTTTCTTCGTTAGTTTTCATCAATTTATGTGTATTGAAATTTTTTGTTATTATTGTTGTGTTTTATTTGGTAATCTTTAAAATCTCTTCCCAACCTTCTCATACTAAGTGCCAACTTTTGTATTAGATAGTGAACTTATTTAAGGATGCAATTAAAATCATGCAGATGCTTTGTATTGATTAATAACAACTTGTAAGTTGTTTGAAAAGTACAACATGAGATATATTATATGAAATATATTATTTGAAAAAATAAGTATAAAATACACCAAAAAACATGATAACAATGAATACACATTAATATAACATTGAGAAGAAAACAATCAATCTTAGATAACACCCATCGCAAATCGTACGAAGAGGTTCCCGTTGAATACAACGGGCGTGAGGGGTGCTAATACCTTCCCCTTGCGTAACCGACTCCCGAACCCAAATCGTGGTTGCGACGACCGTCGTTCTTATACGTCGTTTAAAAAATTTTCTCGATATTTTTCTTTCCCATCTCTTTGGGATAAATAAAGTTAGATGGCGACTCTGTCGAACCGTATTTCCGCGCCTTTAGCGCGAGGGTCGTGTTTTCGAAATATTATTATTTTTCGAGGTGCGACAGACGATCACGTGTATAGAGAGGGACACGGTTTAAAGAGAAACTTAAGAGATGGATGAAATCAGTAACACACCTTTGAAGCCCCAAAACTAAGCACCACATGCATATTGGAGGAGGCCAGAGTATATTGCATCTTGTATTTGCATTATAATTATTGTTGATGTTTGTTATTGTAAGTATTTGAGTGCACCTAATAGGGGTGAATTAGGTACTTTGATCGATTTTTGGTTTATTGAAATTATGCTTTTAACTTTCTGATTTGGCGATGATTTAGAAAACAATAAAGTGCGGAAAAGTAAAGAACACCGAGAGTTATTTTGGTTCCCCTCACAATCTGAGAGTACTCTAGTCCCTTTACCACATGTAAGATATTTTAATATTGTTAGCTCTTATGGACAAACAATTTCATCATTCGTATACAAGACTCTAACACAATCACCAAGAACAATCCTCTTGTGGTTTACAACACACTTATTTCTAACAATCCTGGACAATAAGTAAAGGTCAATACAAAAAGATACAATCCACCTTCCTATAGATACCTCATAATACCAAACAATCCTTGATACTTTGAAATTTGTAACAATTACAATAGATAGAAATAAATAAATTTTATAGAATGGTTAAGACTTATTCAAACAAATAAAGTCTTCTTCTCTTTCAAATATGTAGATTCACTACTACAAAAACGTTTTTTAATAGCGCTTTTTTTGTTTTTTAATAGCACTTTAAAGCGCTTTTAATCAAGGCGCTATTGTAAAACAAAATTTTTAATAGCGCTTTAAAAGCGCTATTATAGTTCTGGTTATTAATAGCGCTTTTTCAAAAGCGCTATTATAGGACCTGTATTTAATAGCGCTTTTACAAAAATGCTATTATAAGTCACATATCTGATAGCGCTTTCAAACAAAGCGCTATTATAGCACCGGTAATTTGCTTTAATTTTGATAGCACTTTCAAACAAAGCGCTATTATAGAACACATATTTAATAGCGCTTTCCAATAAAGCGCTATTATAGGACACATATTTAATAGCACTTTTAAACAAAGCGCTATTATAATCCACATATTCGATAGCACTTCCAAACAAAGCGCTATTGAAATACCGGTAAATTGCTTTAATTTTGATAGCACTTTCTAACAAAGCGCTATTATAGCACGCTCTCTTCAAACCGCTATATATTATAATACACTTTTTTTTTACACCAAATCATTATATATATATATATATATATATATATATATATATATATATATATATATATATATATATATATATATATATATATATATATATATATATATATATATATATATATATATATATATATATATATATATATATATATATATATATATATATATATATATATATATAAAATATTGATGCATAGTATTGATGCATACATATAATATTGATACAATATATTGATCCACAGTATTAATGCATACATATAATATTGATGCAAATCATTTCCATTAAGTCAAGCTAAGAACAGATGCATAATACAAGTCATTAGTGATACAGATATATCTATTATAATTTGTTGAGATCTCGAACAAGCTAAAAGTAATTTAAGAATCTTTTGTCATAACATTCTCATTGAGGGAACATTTTCTGTTTCCTTAGGAATGATTGATACATTGAACAACATTTATTGAATACAGTATCACTACAAACGAAATTTAATAATTTTGCCAGAAAAACTCAATGAACTTACTGAGTTTTCATGATCAATAATAAGTCTTCTCAGTTTCTTGGCTCTAATTGGACTTCTTCTATTGAAGATTTTTTCTTCATATGTACCAACCATGATTACAAATTTTTCAACTCTTGATAGCTTCACAAAAGCACTATGCTTCTCCCCCATCTTATTTCAAATCAATGTCACATAAAATAATTAAAACTTTGAGATAATAATGAGATATACTACAAACAATAAACCATAATGTAACATTGTTAGTGTTACCTTAGTTATGTCAACAAGATACCCTCCAAGTTTATGAAACTCTTTCTTGTAAACAGTCATTAGTAAATCAATAGCACCCTAAACAAAATGGAGCAAAACAAATAAACATAGGTAACTAGATTCAAATTCATTCAACTCTTAAGTTCGGGAGAAAGTTAATAACAACCTCATAAATATCCAAAGAGGGCAACTGGGGAAGAAAATCATTTCCAGCAAAGAAACAAATAAAGATAAAATTGTCAACTATCCGCTCAAAATCAACGATGCAATTTTTGGGAGGATCTTATATCTTCATGTCTAGTTCAAGATATTCCCTCAACAACCAAATATGCAAAAGCTGCAACCAAGTATATATACTGAAAATTATAATCTACTCATCAACTTCAAAGTTATAGATTTAAATCACATATTATTTTACCTTGAACCTCTTAACAGCATTTTGTTCCACCTTATCATAAAAATTAGGAACATCCTGTACAAGATAGGAATTTCTTACGCACATACCACATCAGCAAAATGTATTCAAACTATACAGAATCGACTTGTAAGTTTTATGTCTAGTGTGTGTAACGCGTTAATGTTTTATAAATTGCAATGAAATGCATTTCTCGTATTGTTAAGCTATAGAAGATTTAATGTATAGTCTATTGATAACCTCTCGTATAATTGAAAAGTGAGGCTCATGGCTTGACAATCCAAGCATTATCAAATCAACATCCTGCATTCAAAACTCAACAAAATTAGCTCAACTATTTCAACACTCTTAACAAATAGACCTGCTAGGAAAAGAAAAAAAAAATTGATTTCGTACCGAGCCATATAAGTAGTGGACAGTGTTTGGGTTATAATCAGGAAGGCCACGTTGTTTTCTTATGAATGACATAATCTTATGTTCCCCTTCTCCAGGAACATTGGCATCAGATAAAATTACCTAAGTATAAAACATTAAAAAATGTAGATTAATACTATTAAAGAAGATAGAGTGTGAATTAGTATTGCATTATATATGCAAAAGATAGTAATATTATATTACAATAATATCTTTGAGAGTTGATGCATGAACTCAGTTCCTGGTGTTATTATATTAGAATCTGACACTTCACATTCTTGTTTAGGAACAACTTGTTTTCCTTCCATTTCAAATAGCTTCCTCAGTCTCTCCTCCTCAGCTTCCTATAAAAATAAACACCAAAGCTCTATCATTCAACCATGTACAAAAGCTTGCGAGGTTTAACAATGGTAACAAGGTGATCAATGTAATCAAACATATTTGCAAACACTTCCATAAATGTTGTTGGAGGACAACTCTGAAAGACATTAATATATTAATAAGTTGAAGAAAGAGAGAAGTAGTAAAAGAGAGAGTGAGAGTAACGAACATTGATGTTATCATCGTTGGGATGAAAACATGGGTGGATAATAGAGTTCATATCAAGATAAATAATTTCTCAAATCAGCATGAACCACGCGAAAGAGAATTCAAAGAAACACCGAAATCTTATTCAAAATATTACAGCCACGTCGAATTATTGACAACAACAACAGAGCAGTAAATCATTGTATCCTGCAAGAAATATATCACATTGGCATTACCTATTTTAAACAGCAAAACTGAACGGTGAAAAAGGGAAATTTGTGATACCTTTATTGCAGCTGTTAGAGCATGACCTATATGGAGAGCTCCTGTCACGTTTGGTGGAGGAAAAACCTAATATTATAGAACAGTGAGGTTCTAAATACATAAAAATAGAGCAAAAAAAACATAACTTTTCAATATCATTTGAGTTTGTGCAACCATTTTACATGTACATAGGAAGCGGAGACAAGATTATAGCCTAATCTTCTCAAGATTACAGCAAGAGCAATCAAATACAATGAAGATAGCCATTGACTAAGAGAACAAAGTTTGAGAATCTATTTACGGCATTTCATCCGACACCATCAAACACCAACAGATATACAATTGATTTCCGAAACTTCTTAAAGTTGATCAAATAATAACAGATTATTAAATAATAACAGATTATTCAATTCTCTATGACAAAAAGCACTTCAAAATTAAGTTAATGGTGCACGTTACAAATAATGCATTCACTTTTTAAAAGATTCATGCTGCAAATCTAGTTAGGCAAACAAAAAGCTACTTTCCACTCTAACAAAATAAAAGTTACTTTGTACTCTACTATGTATGTAACATAATCTAGTTAAGAACTGTTAGTGAAAATGGGCTAGTAAATGAAAGAAAAATATACCAGTTCTGATATGTTCCAAACAATCCTCGTTTAAAAACGACGTCGAGGGTGTTGATCTCGGCCTCGACGAGAACAACATTCATGACCCAAACATGATCCAAAGTAAGCATTCATATCAAGAAGATTACGGAACCTACCAGGCTCTACTAGCTGATAATCTAGTGTCTTGTAGTATGCACATGACTCATGGCTGCTTTCATCATGTTAAAGCAGCTTCAGAGCATTCATGGCTGCTTCACAAGAAAGTGTGAAAAATTAAAGAAACTGCTAATCATTATTCTTCATGCTAACATTCCTATCACCATATCAACTGCTTAACACAGTGGGAAAGTCTGCAACTAGTAGAATCTTCTCACGAACTAACTTACTCCGAGTTTCCTGTCTTCGAAACTGTCAGCTACTGCTTTGATTGGATATGCCATTACCATCACCATTAGAATCTAACATGTTTAGAATAAAAATCATTAACTAAAACACCCTTTAAGTTTTCAGTTATAAAAGCACATGACTCAAGCAAAATATTATGCAGGCAATTTCAAGTCATGCGACAAGAAAGTAAAATTATCATATCAAAGTTAGGAAATATATGATCAAATCAAGAACTTCGCTATTCCAAAACAATTAAATGGGGCTCATGGTATTCTGAGAATCATAGCCCTTTCAGTGATATTGACAGGCTTCTCAAATGTTAATATTGATTAAGCTAATTGAAGCAATTAAAGGAGTTGGCGAAAGTTGTTAAAGCAAGAAACGATAATAAAATCTAGTGCAAAATTCTAACAAAGTTCCATTGGCTAGCAACAGTACCTGCTCATCTCTAGTTATGGAATGCTGATCTACACAGAGTTCTGCGCAAACTCCCATGCCGAAATCATTATAGAAATCATTCTAAGTAAAATCTAGTGCATTTACTTTGTTAGTTTTATTTTTACTATATTGGGTTAATACAATTTTCTGCAGTGGCTCAATGAAATAACTCAGCCAAAAAAGCCTTGTAAACCATCCGATAGTAACATGATTGTGTGTAAGTCAAGAAAAAAGTGAGTGATTTATTCCATTAAAGTCTGGAGATATTGGTATTTGTCTGTGTACTGTATGGTTTATTCTTGAATTTGGTCAATATTAGATATTGATATATCCACAATGCAATGAGATTTGTTTTTCACCCTATTTAGCAAAGTGGAATATTTTGTTTAGTTATAAATATAATTTATCTTCTATAATGGTTTATTCTTGAATTGTTGTAAATATGAGCAAACAAATTGAACATATGAATATTAATGAGTGTGCTTGGCACAGAGAGAAAGAGAGAGGGAACAAACCATGAAACCAACACATGAATAACTTAGAACCAAAATCGTGAAAGCAAAATTACTGAACACCAAGATATTCTTAATTGTTGAAGGCGCGGCTTGCTGCCATCTATAAATGACTGTTTGAAAAGAAAACAGCAACGCATGTTAATTAACTGAAGAAAGAACTAAAAATAAGCATAAGTAAATATTTATACCTTTGGAACAGGCAATCATCAATGCTGACTGAACAAAGAATATAATGTATCCCGCATAGAGTCCCTGAAATAACAAGGTGTTGCACCCCAAAATTTGACCAACCGGGTCCCGTATCTGGCTCTATGTTTCGACGCATGACAGCATTCGCATCCGCATATCGCATACAGTGCATTTTTCATTTGTTTTGCCTTTATCGGGATCACAGCCCTCTTCTCGCGTTTCAGGTGTTTTTAATCAGTTTAGATAGGTAGAATCGTATTTTTGGGAATTCGTGCTATTTCCGGTGTTTGCAGTTCGCGCTGTTGTTTTTAGGGATATTTCGGTGCCCGTTTATTTTTACCGGTTACTCCGGTGTGCTCTCGTGGTGTTATTTGTCGTTCGGTGCTATTTTTGTTCCTTCGGGAATTATTGTGTTTTTTCTGGATTTTATTGGCCATTTTTAGAGTATAATAGATTTTAATAGAATATTAATAGGTTTTTAATATTTTAATAGTTTTAATCTTTTTTTAGAATATACTAGATATTAAATAGCTTTTTAATCATTTTTTAATAGAAGAATATAGATTTTTTTTCTTTTATTAATAATAGATTTTTTTTTATAGAATTTAATATAGATTTAATAGAGATTTAATAAAATTTTAGATTAATAGAGAATTATTAGAGTTTTTTTAGATTAGTGGGTTTATTAGAGTTTTATTAATAGAAATTGATTAGAGTTAATATAGATTTTAGGTTAGTCCTCTTTCTTAGATTTAATTAGGATTTATTAGATTAATTAGGTTTTAAGTAGATTAATTTTTAGTCTTTAATCCATGGTAATTAGCCCATTTCAATTCAGTTTTTTGTGGTTTTGTTAATCCATTTCGTGGGCCCAGATTTTCGTTTTTGGAGGCCCAGTTTATGGCCGTTTTTGTCCATTTTTCAGAGTCCAAGAATCAATTGCATGTGTTATATAAGTCATCCACGTGTTATCTCAGAGAGGACCCACCACTTCATTTCAGAATCACCCACATCACGCCACATCACAACTTCTCTTCCCCCTTTCTCTGCCACGCCACCCCCACGTGGCGTCCATGCACCAGTTCTCTCCACTACCATTGCCACTTGGCAGCCTCAAACCCCACCGGAGACTCACCGGTTGCATGGCCGCCGGCCACGCAACCACCCTAACAGCTCCCCGTCGGCAGCCCTAACAACCCTCCGGCCACCGTCAATTCCGCCGGAGACACCAAAAACTCCAGAATTCATCTTTCTCCTCTTATCATCACCTTCAACCGATCACCATCTCCGATCATCATCATCTCCTCCGATCAACACTCAACCACTGTTCATCAACTTCATCCAATCTCCATGAAATCTTCAGCAACCTTCAACCTACTTGCAATGTTCGTCCGATCATCCAGATCTCCTCAGAAATTCCGTTGTGTTCTTCGTTTGAAGATTATAGCTGTTCATTACGAGTTTCTTTCCAGAATCATCGTCATCCCTATCAACGCTCATCCAACCATCAAGAACCGCATGCATCAGTACGCCTCCAGAAAATTGCCAGATCCTCCTTCAATCGCTCATCAACAGCGAGACCTCCATTCAAAGAATTTCCAGAAGAACCTCCACAACGCCATCTTCGCATCTACAACTACGATTTATCTAGGAAATTCATCAAGATTCTTCACCTTCATGAAGATTCTCCAGGAATCACTAAACACGTATCAGCTCCAAAGATCCTCGTTTAAGGACTCTCTATCTTCAAGATCCGTCCGCGAACGTCCACCAATAAACGTTTCCAGGTTACAGAACATCGAAGATCTTCGTAAGAATGCCTTCGTCATCACCTGGATCTATGAAGAGTACGCATCCTCAGATCTCCAGGTTTTGTTGATTTTCTTTGTTGACGTTTCTATCCGCGAGCAACATACATGCTTTCCCGTCTTCAGCATAATTTTTCATCAAGAATTTCATCGTTCGAATGTCCATAAACTAGGAGCCAAGTTTGTAGATGTCAGTGTTTGTTTGAGTGGATGAATCAAGAAAGGTTGGGATGAAGTTAAGTCTGAGAGAGGTTCAGAGAGAGATCAAGGAAGAACAAGGTGTTTGTTTGAGAAGAGGGAGTTCGGAGGTAGGTGACGGCGCCGTGAGAGAGGGAGGAAAATCCATTAGGGTTTCAGAATGAGAGAGTGAAAGGAGAGAATGAGGAGATGGGCCGGGTTTGTGTTTGGGGCCACGAGGCCCAACGTTTTTTCTTGCACCTTCCCCTCCATTTTTTTTTACTGAAGGATATTGGGCTGAGCCCAATGCAATGGCCAGCATGCACCCTCCGTTACTCTTTGTTACCCCCTCCCTCTTGTGTGTATGTTTTGAGGAAGTGGGTCGGGCTTGGCATCATTATTGCTTACAGCCTCTGTTTTCAATTTCAGCACCTCCCTCTCTGTGCATATTTTTTTGATGGGCTGGGCTGAGATTTTCTTGCTAATTGTAATCCCTGTATCCATCTGCACCCCCTCCCCTTTGTATTTTTCTTTTTTCTTTTAGATTCATTTGTTTAGGGAATATATGAAAAAAGAAATACAATGAAAAAGAATATTTTGAAAAAGAGATATGAAAAGAAAATATGGGAAAAAAGAAAAGAAAATATTGGAAAAAGAAATATTTAAAAAAGATAGTGAAAAA